AGTATGGTAGACTTTGATGTTATCTTGGGCATGGACTGGTTGTCGCCCTATCATGCTATTCTAGATTGTCATGCCAAGAATGTGACGCTGGCTACACCAGGTTTACCACGGTTAGAGTGTAGGGGTGCTTTGGATTATGTTCCTAGCAGGGTTATATCATTTCTAAAGGCTCAGCGAATGGTTGAGAAGGGGTGTGATGCTTATCTAGCCTTTGTGAGAGTACCGGTGCTGATACTCCTACCATTGAGTAAGTTTTAGTAGTGAGAGACTTTCCAGATGTATTTCCAGTGGATCTTCTAGGCATGCCGCCCGATAGGGATATCAATTTTGGTATTGACTTGTTGCCGGGAACTCATCCCATTTCTATTCCACCATCTCGGATGGCCTTAATAGAGCTGAAGGAGCTAAAAGAGCAGTTGCAGGAGTTGCTTGATAAGGGTTTTACTCGGCCTAGTGTGTCGCTGTGGGGTGCTCCGATCTTATTTATGAAGAAGAAGGATGGTTCTACGCGCATGTGTATCGATTATCGGCAGTTGAACAAGGTTACAGTGAAGAACAAATATCCATTCCCACGCATTGATTACTTAATTGATCAGCTACAGGGTGCCAGGGTGTTCTTAAAGATTGATTTACGGTCAGGTTATCATCGGCTGAAGATTCGGGATTCGGATATTCCAAAGACTGCCTTTAGGATTCGGTATAGTCACTACGAGTTCCTTGTGATGTCATTTGGTCTGACCAACGACCCAGCAACATTTATGCACCTTATGAGCAGTGTATTCCAGCCTTATCTTGATTCATTTTGTCATTGTGTTTATTTACGACATCTTGGTATACTCCTGCAGTCGGGAAAAGCATGAGCAATACTTGAAGATCGTACTCCAGACCTTGAGAGAGAAGAAGTTGTATGCAAAATTTTCAAAGTGTGAATTTTGGCTTGATTCGGTGGCATATTTGGGTCATGTGGTGTCGAGTGAGGGGATCAAGCTAGATCCGAAGAATATTGAAGCAATGCAAAATTGGACCAGACCGTCCTCAGCTACTGAGATCCGAAGTTTTCTTGGTTGGGTCGGGTATTATCGTCGTTTCGTAAAGGGTTTCTCATCTATTGCTGCACCTATGACCAGATTTACCCAGAAGGGTGCTCCATTCAAATGTTTGGAGAAGTGTGAGGCGAGATTTCAAAACCTCAAGACTGCTTTGACTACAACGCCAATGTTGGTGTTGCCTACGGGTTCGGGGTCCTACACTATGTATTGTGATGCGTCACATGTTGGCCTAGGCACGGTGTTGATGCTAGATGGTAGGGTGATTTCCTATGCATCTTGGAAGCTGAAGACCCATGAGATGAATTATCCAGTCCACGACTTAGAGTTGGCAGCCATTGTACATGCATTGAAGATCTGGTGGCATTATTTGTACGGTGTTCCTTGTGAGGTCTTTACCGACCACCGGAGTCTACAACATCTATCCAAACAGAAAGATCTTAACTTGCGGCAATAAAGGTGGTTAGAGTTGCTTAAGGACTATGATATCACCATTCTATATCATCCCGAGAAGGTCAATGTAGTGGCTGATGCCTTGAGTCGAAAGGGAGAGTTTGGGTAGTTTAGCATATCTACCAGCAGCAGAGAGGCCATTAGCATTTGATGTTCAGGCCTTAGCCAACTAGTTTGTTATATTGGATGTTTCGGAGCCCAATCGAGTTCTTTCCTGTATGGTTTCTCGGTGTTCTCTATATGACTGTATCAAAGAGTGACAGTATGACAACCCCCATTTGCTTGTCCTCAAGGATGTGGTTCAGCATGGCGATGCCAAAGAGGTTACTATTAGGGATGACGGTGTGTTGCAGATGCAGGGCCGGCTATATGTGCCCATGTGGATGGTTTGCGTTTGTTTATTCTTTGGGAGGCCCACAGTTCACGGTACTCCATCCATCTGGGTGCCTCTAAGATGTATCAGGACTTGAGGCAACACTATTGGTGGAGGAGGATAAAGAAAGACATAGTGGAGTATGTAGCTCGGTAACTAAATTGTCAGCAGGTGAAGTATGAGTATCAGCGGCCGGGTGGTTTGCTTCAACAGCTTGAGATTCCCGAGTGGAAATGGGAGCGTGTCACCATGGACTCCGTTGTTGGTCTCCCATGGACTCAGAAGAAGTTCGACGCAGTATGGGTGATTGTGGGCAGGTTGACCAAGTCGGCACATTTCATTTCGGTAGTGACTACCTATTCTTCAGAACAGTTGGCTCAGGTTTATATCCGCGAGATTGTCTGACTTCATGGCGTACCTGTATCCATCATCTCTGATCGGGGTACACAATTCACATCGCGTTTTTGTAGAGTTGAACAATGCGAGCTAGGCACACGGGTTGAGTTGAGTACAATATTTTACCCTCAGATGGACGGGTAGTCCGAGCGCACTATTCAGATATTGGAAGATATTTTTCGTGCTTGCGTTATGGATTTCGATGGTGCGTGGGATAAGTTCTTGCCACATGTGGAGTTTGCCTACAACAACAACTACCAATCGAGTATTCATATGGCTTCGTATAAGGCTCTATATAGGAGACAACATCGTTCTCTAGTTAGGTGGTTTGAGCCAGGAGAGGCTAAGTTATAAGGAACAGATTTGGTTCGAGATGCCTTGGAGAAGGTCAAGATGATCCAGGATCGGCTTCATACAACCCAATCTAGACAGAACAGTTATGCGGGTCAGAAGGTTTGTGATGTTGCATTCATGGTTGGAGAGCGAGTCTTGCTCTGGGTTTCCCCCATGAAGTGTGTGATGAGGTTCGGGAAGAAGGGCAAGTTGAGCCCTAGGTATATTGGACGTTTTGAGATCCTTGAGTGGATTAGAGAGGTGGCCTACAAGCTTGCCTTGCCACCTGGTTTATGCGGTTCATCTGGTGTTCTATGTCTCTATGCTGCAGAAGTATTATGGTGATCCATCCCATGTTCTAGACTTCAGCATAGTCCAATTGGAAGAGGATTTGACTTATATTGAGCAGCATGTGGCTATATTGGACCGACGGGTCCAAAATTTGAGATCAAAGGATATTGCTTCATTGAAGATTCAATAGAGGGGTCATCTGATCAAGGAGGCGACCTGGGAGACCGAGCACGACATGCAAAGTCGTTATCCCAATCTATTCACCATTTCAGGTACGTCCTTATGCACGTTGGAGGACGAACGTTTGTTTTAAGAAGGGGTGAATGTAAGGACCCGATCGGTCATTTTGTGTAATTACGTCATGTTACCCCTTTTACTGCTTCACATATTTGTGTTTATGATTTTATGACTTGCGGAGTTAGTTAGTTTTGTTNACTTTGATTTTTGTGAAAACGACCCCGAAACTATGTTTTTATGATTCTGATTGCTTTGTATCGTGATTTCGAACTTGGGCGTATGCCCAAAATTGATTTTGGAAGTCCATAGGTTGATTTGTGATGATTTCAAAATTCAGTAATTTGAAGTTGAAAAGTTTGACCGTCGGCTGACTTTTAGCTATCGAGCTCGGAACTTGATTTTGGGACATGGAATAGGTCCGTTATGGTATTTAGAACTTATTTGCAAAATTTGGTGTCGTTTGGAATTGATTTGATAGAATTCGAACGTTTAGTTGTAATTCTAGAAGTTCTTGAAAATTTCTTTGAAATTCATGCATTTTAGAGTTCAATTCGTAGTTTTTAGATGTTATTTTTGTGTTTTGATTGCGCGAGCGAGTTCGTATGATGTTTTTAAACTTGTGTGGATGTTTGATTTGGAGCCCCGAGGGCTCGGATGAGTTTCGAACATATTCCGAAGTGTTTTTGACTGAAATTTCAAGAAATCTGATGATTTGGTGTTGCAAATGTGAACACCAGGGTCGTATTTGCGAAGGTGATAGAGGAGGGGAAGTTGTCGCTAATGCGACTTCCCCTTCGCAATTGCGAAGGATACAGAAATTGGACAGTGTTGGCAATTGCGAACAATTGTTCGCTTTTGTGATAAAGGCCAGTTCGCAAATACGAAGACTTTTCTTGCAATTGCGAGATTTCGTGAGGTTGCTAGGGTTCGCAAATCCGAGCCCTGATCCGAAATTGCGAGGGTTCGCAAATGCGAATACTATGTCGCAAATGCGACATCTACAGCTAGTTAAAGTGCTGGGCGACGGGATTTTGAACTCATTCTCTCATTTTTGAACCCTAGACTCGGTAAGAGACGATTTGGAGAGGGGAATTTCACCTACAAACCTTGGTAAGTGATTCTAGTCTATTTCTAATCATATTCCATCAACATATGTTAGATTTTAACATCAAAATCATGTGAATCCAAGTGAAAATTTGTGAAACTTTGTCAAGCTTTTAAAAAATAAGATATTGAGTTTTGAGAATCGATTTAGACTCGAATTTTTAAACTAATCACATATATAAAATCGTGGGGTCATTGGTAGACGGAATCAACCGATGACACCATGATTCCAATATATGTGATTAGTTTCAAAATCCGAATCAAAATCGACTCTCAAAACTCAAATTCTCATTTTCAAGAACTTGACAAAGTTTCACAAATTTTTACTTTGATTCACATGATTTTGATGTTAAAATCTAAGATATATTGCTGGAATATAGTTGGAAATAAATTAGAATCACTTACCCAAAGTTTATAGAGGAAAATCCCCTCTCCAAATCGCCTCCTACCGAGTCTAGGGTTCTAAAATGAGAGAATGTGTTGAAAGATTCTGTCTCCCGGCCCTTTGTACCTGCTGCAATTATCACATTTGCGATAGAGGGTTCGCATTTGCGAACCCTCTCTATTGCAAACCAGGGATCGCATTTGCGAACCCTGACAACCTCAATCATCATCACAATTGGGACAAAAGGCTTCGCAATTGCGAAGATGGGAATCTCGCAAAAGCGAACAAATATTCGCAAATGCAAACTAAGTCAAAAGCCGACAGAACTCGCTAATGCGAAGGGAAAGTCGCAATTGCGACACATGTGCCCCCACTGTCACCTTCACAATTGCGAGGCTGGTGCTTGCAATTGCGATAACTGGGCACCAGCAATACCAGCAGTTCAATGTCAATTCAATCCATTTCGAAACATGTTCGAAACTCATCCGAGCCCTCGAGGCTCCAAACCAAACATCCACATAAGTCTAAAAATATCATATGAACTCGCTTGCATAATCAAAACACAAAAATAACATCTATTACTATGAATCAAATACTAAAACGCATAAGTTTCAAAGTAAAAGAAAAAGAGTCAAGGAACAAACCAATATATTCCCGTTGCCAATACTGTTCAAGGGGTGGTTAGGATTTGTCCCTCCCATTGACCCAACTAGCACGATCTGCTTCACACCAGCAGCTTTAGCTGTAAACATGCAAAAAGTATATCTAAGATAAACAGAGAGCATCCTATATCCAGTAACAATAGTGTCAAAGACGACTCCTTACCAGCATCTATTTGGTTCTTCTGGCCAATCCAGTCTACCTACAAATACAAAGTCAGTATTTTTTTGTGTCAGACAAAGACAACTACAAACCTGAGGACATGAGTAGCCATAGCTTTCTATACCTGTTCAGGGTATGCCCCATCCTCAAAATAGAATTCCGGTCTTCCACCTTGAGTTGGATCAAACCCGGGCTTCATTTTTGGCACAGCACTTGTAAGAATAACAAGAGCATCAATACCTTGTATGGCAGGAATAATACTCTCAGTATCCCTGATATCACCAATATAAACATCATCGGCACCGCCAATTTTTTGTTTGCTTTCCTCCGTTCTAACCAATCCTCTCGCTGTATATTTCTCTGACCTCTCCTTCAACTTCTTATAAACAATTGATCCTACAATGTAAACAACTTGTTAATGAGGGAGCCGTGAAATTGTTTGATCGTGAGAGGAACAGGAATAGCTCAATTTACATCATACCCTAAAGCTCATGGCCACTTGACATGGTTGATTCTAGCATTAGTCATTTACTAAGAAGCCTAAGAAGCAAAATTCTAAGAATAGTTGTTGCTTTGGAATACTTCAAAATCCAGTATACGAACCCCTAAGTCATTGTTTGAAAGTTCAACATTTTCAAGTTCAGTCATGCATTTACTTATTAAACAGCCAATTGAAATGAGATGATAAAAAACCCACTAGACCAACCAAATTCGGAGTTAGAGCATGCAATTTATGAGTCATCTTCACCATTGGAAACAATTGATGAGTGATCCCAACTCCTAAGAATAAATAAATAGTCCTAAAATACAGTAAAATTGTACATTCTTGAAAGCTATAAAGAACCTCCTCAATAGATTTGAGAAGGAATGCATATAGGACAACAATCCATAATATTATTGTTACAAGACTTCAACGCAAAAATAATCTAACTGCTTGGGCTCCTATCTCTTCTTTTAGAGGATTCTTTTTTGAAGGGAGAAAAAGGGAAAGACAAAAGCAATATGTTCTAGTACAATATGTATCACCAGATTTCCATTCAACAGTTTTTTTATATCCACTGAATACCTGCTACTTCTCACCATCACAGTATAGGTATGGAGTAACTCGGTCCACCAAGGGTTAGACAGAGGGGAAGAAATAACCTTCTTTTTTTTTTTTGGTCTCGAATTGGATTTGAACCCGTGGGATTTTAATTTCCATCCACTTAATTGACCTGAACTGGCTTCATCTTTCTTTGACTCGTGCGTTGCTTTAGGAGTCAACTCCCCCTCAGGTATAGGCTTGTCCTTTATCTTCTTTGGCACGTCTTCTAGTTCCCTCCTATTTCTGAGTGTAACTGCATTAACTTGAGGATTGTTCTCTGTATCACTGGGAAGAGTGCCTGCAGGTCTAGTAATTTGATTTGCTGCTAAATACCCCATTTGCCTCTCAAGATTTCTGAAATCGGTCCTGAGCTGTTGATTGTCAAGCAACAACTTCTTTAACAAGTCATTTGTACTCTCTTCTATTTGTTGGGGTAGCTTATGAGGTTGATTGAAATTTCTTTGGGACATATAATGATTCTGAGTTGGCTGGTTTCCACCTCATGAGAAGTTAGGATGATTTTCCCAATTTGGATTGCAAGTATTTCCATATTGTTCATACTGATTCATCGGACCTCTGCTCTGTTGCCCCACATAATATATAGATTCAGGATTCGTGGGGCACATGTCACTCATATGACTGTCACCACATAGTTCGCAACAAATAGACATCTTTGTACATGTTGCATCTGTTGTGTTTGTTGTATTGTCATTCAATTCATCTGATTTGCCAATTTTGCTATATCGGCTCACATGGTTGAGAAGTCATCAAGCTCAATTACCCCGGCTGCTTTTTGTTTAATTCCTCTTCGTATGTCCCTATCTCCTTGCCAATTATGATCATTAGCAGTGAAGTTATTTAGCAAGAGTTGGATTTCACTATACGGCCTCTCCATGCAACTACCCCAACAAGTTGAATCAAGATTCATCTTTGATGCTTCGTCTAGCCCATCAACAAAAGTGTGACCCAACACCTCATCAATCTGACAATGATACGGGCAGTCTCTGAGTAGCTTCTTGTATCTTTCCCAAGCTTGACGAAGTGTCTCTCCATCCCATTGTTGGAACCCAAGAATCTGACTCCTCAGCGACTTTGTCTTCTTAGTGGGGAAAAACTTGATTAAGAATTTCCTTTCTAGATCATCCCAAGTGTGGATTGAGTTTGCGGGCTCCTATTGCAACCATTCCTTAGCTTCCCCCAGCAATGAAAAGGGAAATAGTGTCAACCTGACATAGTCCTTGGAAACGTTTGGATAATTGTAGGTGTCTGTAATTTCCAAGAAATTCTGAATGTGCCTCTGTGGGTCTTCATGAGATAGACCCACATATTTCCCTATGGACTTAATCAGCTGTACCATGCACTGTTTTAGTTCAAAATGCCCTGTGATATCAGGTTTCACAATATCCTGAGTCATATTATCAAGATTAGGCCTTGCGGCTTCTATCACCACACGATTTTCATTACCGTCCATCTCTGTTGGCTATGGTTAAACTATGATATCCAACTCTCTTTCTATTCTAGTTCTAGCTTTGACTTCTTTCCTCACTCTGTGAAGTGTTCGTTCAATTTCAGGATCAAGAGGAAGGAGGCTGTTTGTTCTTCTACTCCTCTGCATTCAAAAGACGAGCATGCGTTAACACAAACAAGGCAAACTCAAAATTAAAACTTGAACAAATAATTAATAAAAGCTTAACTCACTCAAGTAGCTAATTTCTAAGTCCCCGGCAACGGCGCCAAAAATTTGTTGCGACTAAAAATGCTCACGCAAGTATACGTAGTCATCAAGTAATAGAGTAGTGAGTAGAGTATCGTTCCCACGAAGACTTATGATTAACTTTGACTGATTCAAATTCAATTAACTTATCGATTCAAGAGATTTCTTACAAAATATAAAAGTGACTAATTTACTACCTCAAACTATCGAGCAACGAATTAACAAAAATCAACCAAAATAATTAAACAATTTCAGATAACAATCAGTAGGAAAGGATATTACAGGGTCACAGGTTAGCTAACAATCGTGTTGCGTTCTTGGCTTAAAATGACTAATTGATTTATCTGCTGATTGACAGGGTTGATATTACTCATAGGAATCTGTCAATTTCTTACTCGCCTATTCAAGCTAACTTAATACCTATATGTCTATGGAATTAAGATTAACAAGAATGCATTTACACTTCCTGTATTTCAACCAAGCAAGACAATTAGGTATATTTCGATCCTAACTGCAAATTCGTTCCCCGATGCCCGGGTTCAAGAACTTGCCCTATTTAATTCTATATGCAATCTGGAATTCCCACTTTCGAGTTCAACTCTAGATTCGTAGATAGTATTTCACTGTTAGCTACTCAGTAAAATAATTAAAAACCGAATTATATAAATAACCCAATATAATAAACTTCAAACTCGTCAATTTAAACTTCAAACGTCAACATTCATGTAGCCCACATGACCCCAGAATAATAGGGCTCTTAGCCACGCATGCTCATGGTAAAAATCTCAAGTAATTCCCAAGAATGCATAAAAATCAATAAAAGAAGGAAAAGGGAAGAACTCTAGACAAATTCTGTGGGTTCCAAGCTTTGTCGTGGCTTTTTTTCTCGCTTCCCAATATGTTTGTTGACCTAAAAGAGGCGTTTTTGGCTTATATATTGCGTACAAAAGTCGTGGACTAAAGTTCTCCTACTCCTAATCCGACTCAGCTTCAGGGATTGATGCTGCGGTAGATGCTTCGCATCCACCTCATCCTCCAATTCTTCAGCTTCGTATGCTAGGGTGGATGCTTCACATCCACCATTTATTATCCCATCTCAGTTGTGCCCAGGTGCGGATGCTAAGGAAGATGTTATGGTCTGACTTCATTGCCAAGGTTACACAATATATGATTTTTTCCTAGGTTGGATGCAATGCATCCAACCTCTCCTCCTCTAGCTAGAGCACCTTTTCTTCATATTTTTGCACTCCAAACACCCTAAATTATCACACAAAACTCAATTAGTCATAAACCAATAATTAAACCATGTTGGGCATTTTAAAGATCAAATAGCATCAAAAAGCAGTTAAAACATGAGTAAAGTAACATTATAACATATGAAAATATGCCCAATATCATATGGTGCCCTTTGTGCTTCGGACATTTGAATATGACTGAAAGAGTTTGCTTGGGATGTAATATGACTTCAAGTTTTGGATGCATCGCTAGACCTTCATTTGATGTTGATGGGAACGACCGTCACTTTCGATTGGTGGACGAGTGTGAGCTCAGGAGGATTAATTGACTTCGTCATGGCTGTAATCAGGGCAATATCATTGGCAGATGTCGATATGAGGTTACATAGGTGGTCTATCTCCTGTGAGGTGTTAGGAGTTGGGTGATTTGTAGTAAAGGTCCAGTGAAGAACTATAATTTCTATTCAACATGAACTATGTACTACGATGTGAGCTGGGATCGCTTGAAGAAGATAGTGTAGCGGGCAAGAGGTCGATTGTGCATTTGGATATGATAATTCAAGTTATGTTATGCAAAGTTTAACAAGAGATTGCGTGAAATTTGGCGGAGTGACGGTGCAAAATCATTGTAACCGAGGAGGTGTCATTTTAATTTATGGATTTATGTGATTGTGTCTTAAAGCTAAGTGGGGGTGCCTACCGTTTGTGATTAGGTCACGTGGTTATGTGCCTTAGTAGTATCGGGTTATCAGTATGTTGGTGGATTAGCTATGATTAAAGGAAGAAAACAGTAAGGGTAAGTCGAGCAAGGGATTTGATGGTTCTATGCTACAATTTCACCTTATTTGGTGCATAGGGTTCATGAAATGACCCGGATTCGATACTTCTTCGTAAAGGTAACGTGCAAGGAAATAGAGTCATTCGATTGCTTCTTCTGGGGTATTCATGTGCTACCGGAGCACTGGTTGCTAGCTATATAGTTGGGACCAGGTCAGAGTAGGTGACTCTCAACAATGGTTATAGTGGGTTCAAGAAGTAAAGTATGGTACCAAAGTATTTTCGAGTTCGTCGTGTGGCTAAGGAATTAGTTTTTTAGCAAAGTGTGAAAAAGACTTGCAATATTTCTATGATTGTCACCCGGTCTGCCTGTGCGATGTTAGAGAGATGGAGGAAACAACTTCGGATTCAGAAGATCCTTCAGAGCGGGTGTATCAGTTGGAGATGCTATTGTGTGCATGAGGGGAGTATAATTAAAATTGTTTACAGTTATTGAGACGACGAGGTCTCATGATTCTGGTCACTCAGGATGAGTGTTGTTTGAGGTCCGTTGTGTGTTTGAATAGAAGTGTTGTTTCAAAGGCAAGTCAAGAGTAAATTGGAAGAAGTTGAGTCAGTTAGTACTGGTTTGAATCATCATGGTTAAGGAAAGGGACAGTTCCTTCGATGTGGTAAGACTATACAGGTGATTCGTGATTGAACGTGCGGGCTTGACAACCTCTGTGATTTGATTAATTTAGAGGTATTTGATTCTGATGGTTTTGTTATGTGTAAATGGGTCCCAGAGGAGTTATGGCAGTTCAGACCACGACTTGAGTTCTGCGACTTTTGCAGTTATGGGGAGTTAGTTATATGTTGCAATTCTTCTTCTGAGCTGAGTTAAGTAAAAGGTTCTAGCTGATGTAGTGTTTATTCTACTGGTGGTTCCGGAGTTGTGTTGAAATTATTATACTATAGTGTAGCAGCATGATAAGTGCAGTGAGCAGTATGGGTTTGTAATTTGAGGATCCAAGGTTGAGATCCAGTTTTGACATGAATGTCACGAGCTCGGAAGAGATGGGAGAGAGATTTAAGATGTTTCGAGTATGCTGGCACTATTTTTGTGTCGCCTGGGAATGGTGTTATGTGGAAGAGGCATTGTGTATTGATTTATGGATTCTTGATTTGCATCATAGTAATAGTATAGTAGGTAGCCATGGATGTGCAGATTTTGCTACCTGGTGCGGAAGATAGTGGTAGTTGTTCCTGATTTGATGGTTGATCGTATGTGTCATCGATAGGGTCATTGGGGATCTTTGGAAGGTTATTGGCCTATTTTGGGATGAACGAAATCGTCTTTGATGTCTGTGGGTAGGCCTTATGTGAATGTATACTTTATACCAGATTATATATGCTTATTCAGCATAGCATTGCTTATGGATGAGCCTCCGAGTATGGTGGAAGATATTCCTGCCTTAACCTATTTTAGGTGCTACTCTTTTATGCATCATGGGTTGTGAGACAGCTATCTTGATTATTCACATGTGTGTTGTGGTCCCATGTATCTTGTGGTGTTATATGAGTGAGACGGTTCTCGAGATGCAAGCCATTTATTGCACCTTAGTCGTGCTTGGCATTTTGTAGTGCATGGCGCTATCTATTTCCACATGGTTGTGTTTATTCACATGGCATGTTTGTGGTCGATGTTTGGGCATTTTGTGGGTATGAGAATTTTTGGATCGATGGGTATTTTCCTTATTGATTGTTATGTGTAGATCAGGTGGCACGCCGCCACAGGTATGATATGTAGATTACGTTGCACGCCGCAACAGTGAGATGTTGAGTACGGTTTCTTATACTTATTTCGTTTGTTTTGTTTCTTACCCTTGAGATAGCTTTATAACATTTGTCTGATTGATTTGAATGTTATGCGGGCTGGGTACTTCTTTACCCGAGTTTGTTTTTCCTTATTAGTCATATTTAAGTTGTGTCTTATTAGCGCATTGATGGCCTCGTATGAGATTTTAGATGGTGTTTGAGGTCGCTTATTACCCAGGCAGCTTGTACTGGGTGAGACGAGGTTGTTGTACCTGAAATCAATGTAATAGGATTATTATAATGTATATTAGAGAGGAAATGTCACTAATCAGCTCAGAGTGAGGCAATGGTTCTTGTCAAGCGAAGAGACTCCATGAGCTATTGATTTCACGGATGGTTATGAGTTCCTGCATATCTCTTTCTGCGTTGCAGTATTGTTAGGGTTGAGAATAGGCTTATATGTGTTATGAGATATACTACAGGCATCTGGTTCATAAATTTGCAGCTATTGTAGTAGGAGGATGTTATTATGAACATACGAATTGTGTGGTGCATTGTGTGATTTCAGCATGGGTACATGAACATGTTTTGGTACAGCGAGTTGAGGTTGATACGGTGTTTGTATGTTAGAATCAGACCAGGTAGAGAATTCTGGATGGGGGAATTTGGTTCTAAGGCTTGGGGGTTAAGGTAGCAGGAAGGATCTTCAGTCTGGCTTGAGCTGATGTGCTCATATGTGTTGTGGTAGCACGGGTAGGTACCCATGGTGTCAAACAATGATTTTAGGGCAACTCCGAAATGGTTCTTGGAATATTCAAGGACGAACGTATGTTTACGTGGGGGAGAATATAATGACTCGACCGGTCGTTTTGAGCTCTAGCGCGTCGTTCGGCGATTTAAGGCCTTGAATAGTTTCACTTCATGTATTATTACTTGTACGTATGGTCG